TGAAAAAAAAAAAAAAAAAAAAACAGTTAAAAATACATATGTGCTGTGACTAATGAATAAGCGATGTCATCTGTGAAGGACAGCACATATTACATTCATCAAGAATATTCATCCAACTGAACCATTACATTTAACCAACTGATTTTCAGTGGGGCTGTTTTGGTCATGCAGTGATTTACAAGTAGAAACAGCTGAGAAAGAAGCCAGCATTAATGTTTACACTGATAAACTACAGTTTACTTTGCTGTGAGGAAGAGATAAGGGTAGTCAATGAATAGTTCAGGGATCAAAAAACTACCCTCGGATAGACAGGTGCATCTCCCTCAGCGCACACATGTGTCTGAGGCATGGCTTTGTCCCTGAGAATATTCACGCCTCAGGAATGATAGTCTGTCTTTCTGGAGGTGGAATGACAAGCAAGTGGGAGGTGAAATTGCATCCCTGTGAATGAAAAGGAGCTCTGCTCTGCCTAGTCTGGTTGTTTGCTTGCTTTGACACTGTTAGCCAGAGATGAGGAGTATTCTATTAAGAAAGTCCAGATTTAAACTACTTAAAGCAGCTCCCTAATAGTAGAAATTATTTTTTGAAAATCTGTCAAGAAACCAATTTTTCTTACTGCAATGTTGCATTTACATAGAAACTCATTTCAATCCAGTGCTGAAGGTGTAGTGAACATAAAATAGTTCCAATATTTATTTTATTGAGCAACATTTTTAAAGATACAAGAAACAGGCCACACACTACAATGCAAATGTGATTGAAACATTATGCATTAAGTTTCTTTTGCCACAAAAAGAAAAAAAAAATACAAAGAACACTGCCTTTTCATATACACTTGACCGTGGCACATGCACATTTATCAAATCTTAAAATACTTTACTCAAAAAATTTCCAGCTTTATCGGGGAACTGCAGTATACACCTGCATTTTTTTCTTTTTAAAAAGTGCTTATTCTGTGTTGTGAATACAAAGCACACAAAAAAACTTTTTAAGCACAGAGGATTACAATGAGAAGGCAGCCTCACTCTTTAGGCACATTACAGTAATTAAGGTAACTGTACTGCAGATATCACATTCTTCACTTTTATTTCATCACATCAATAGGCATTTTGTTTTCATCCAGTAGTTGAGGAACCACTTCAATCACAATGTCTTCTGTTTCACAGAACAGGAAACTAATTCAAAGGTTAAAAAAAAAAGTTAATTTTTATATGTAATTATACATATTTTAAGACCTTATAGAAGAATATGTATATCCATTCATCTATGTATATGTTTATCACAAAGCACAAATATAATAAACTTGTCTATTAGCGATTCATTTTCATTATTTAACAATAAGTCACTTTTAAAGATTCTGCAAAATGCTAATCAACCTTAATTTACATGTTTTGGCCTTACATTGCTATCCTAAGAGTTGGAGCGGTGTAATATCAGAGCTAAATCTTTTTAAAATACGTGGCAGGGGAGAAGGAGTTGACTATTTCATACAAATTATTTTTAAATGACATTTTACTGCTTATCCGTGAATTCACATTGAAAGCTGTTTATAAGGGAGAATTCATTTATAGTGATATTTCACTTATCACACCCCACCAAAGCACAGCCCCCCAAAACAACCAAAAAAGGGAGACATCGGTTTGCTTAACAGTACATCTTTGTTAAAGGAAGAAAAACGAATGAGCAAAGTAGGACACAACCCTAGTATAAATGAGAAGATTCTTAAACAATTCTCAGATTTACTGTCAACATGGGAAATGTGCTCCTTAAAAATTATCCGTCACATAAAAATATGTACGTATCTATTTTTCTCTATTAATTAGTGTACTATCCTTTGTGGTGGAGAAAAGGCAAAACATTTTTATTAATAAAAAACTATTTTGTCTGAATATATTGGACTCTAAATATGCATTCTTGCCAAAACATTCATTTACCATCTTTCAGACCAATTTTGGGCACAGTATGTGAAAAACAGTACTTGAAAGATTTCTAAAAGATCTTCCATAATAAAGCTTTACTGATAAATACAAATAAAATTAACATTTATCAACTATCTACAGTACTATTTATTCAAACAAAAATACATTACAGAAGAAGCCACACCCTCTATCGCCATCAAAGATCTATTAAGAGGGGGAAAAATTCTAAATATGGAATCCATAAATAGTATATAAAGTCATTTATTAATGCACTTCTCCAGCACATTTTGACTGAGATATCACCATAGGTTCACACACTCTTCCAAATATAAGGAATATAGCATTGAACAAAACAAAAATTCCCACTTTCACAAGCTTATATTTCAGTCAGAGAGACAAATAGTAAACCTAACAGATAAACAAAAAAGCATGTTAAATAGTAAGTGCTTTAGGTAGCATGAAGGGGGAAGGTGGAAAGCGAGTGCTAGAAGTGGGAGAATTCAAATTTAAAAGGGCAATAAGGTAAGGAAGGTCTAGCTGGGAGATGAGCTAGATATTGGGTGAGGATTGAATCAGCCATGAAGTATCTATCCCAAGGGCAGTGAACTATACTTTTGATAGGTTATTCTGCGTGTTGGTGAAATATTACCTTTTATAGCGGTGTTTCCTTCTTATAGTTGAAGCTTGGGTCAGAACCCTCAATCTGAAGCTTCAGGGCTTGCTTAAGGCTTAATTCTGTCTCTGAGGAAGGGTACCCCTCCAATACTTCCTGAGGCCCTCTGTCCTGTACTGTCCGTGGAACTGAAACCCTACCAAGAAAAACCTGGTTGCTCTGAAGATGGTAGTTTGGATTTGTCATTATGCCATTTCTCTTCTTCTGTTCCCCACTTTGTTGGTGAATGAGAAACTGCTGCTGAGATCGGCCGATTTCCTGCGGAGTTGAAGGTATGATTTTACACTGAGATTCTGCTGGCACTTGTTTAGGTGGTGCACTAGTCCCAGATTTGGCAACGGGTCCTCTTTTGTCAAATTGAGTCATCTCGTACTCTAAAACCTTTGGCTGTGAGGAATTACTTTGTTTAGCTTTCTTCCCAGCTGATCCAGATTTACCAGAATTTTCTGATTTCCCCCCTTTATTTGCTTTAGTTGACTTCAAACTGGGCTTCACTTGACTCCACTCAAACTCACTACTTGGTGAATTGTGACTTTGTCCTAAGGACTGTGTTGTGGAAGATGGGGATACAATTGACTGTCGACTTCTACTGCGTGGCAATGAGTGCTGCTGAATTTGTTCTGTAAATGACAAGTTATGAAAGCTATCAATTGGTACTGTTTGAGCTGTCGCTGTAGATGAAGTAGTTCTCAAAGATGAATTTTTTGAGCTTTTCAGGGAATTATTTGACAATGATGATTTCTGCCGATCAACAGTAGAATCTGGAGATTCTGAGGGAGAACTGAATGCATGAGCTGGTCCATTAGGTAAGCCATGTAGTGAAGGCTGCATGTCCCCTCCGCCAGTACTGCCAGAGCTATTTGATTTAATTGTCAATGACTGCATTTTTGAGGACACTGATTGTAGAGGTTTTTGCTCCATTGTGTGAACAGGTGAGGGAGAACAGCCATTCAAACTAGATGCACCGTATTTTTCTAATAACTTAATTATTTGAGAATGTCCATTTTTGGCTGCAACACGCATGGCAGTACGTCCAAATTGATCAGCATGGTTTGGGTCAGCACCATGCTCCAGCAACACCTGCACAACATCAATGTGTCCCTCCTGGGCTGCGATACAGAGTGCAGTTGCACCTTGATTACATGTATGGTCAACTACTGCACCATGCTCAATCAGGAGCTGAACCACTTTCATGTGGCCCTGCCAGGCTGCAGACTGCAAAGCAGAGCGCTTTTCATTGTCTGCAGCATTGACATCAGCATGATAAGCTATCAGCACCTGTACCATTTCCATGTGGCCTTGCCAACAGGAAACATGAAGTGCTGTCCTTCCTTCAGCATCGCTTGCTTCTACATTTGCACCATTTTCTAAAAAGTATTCAGCCATTGTAAGTTGGTTTTCTAAAGCCAATATATAAAGCGTGGGCCTCCCATCAGCATCTTTATAATTAACATCAGCTCCATGGCTAAAAAGCAATTCAACAATGTCTCTGTGTCCTTCTAATGCAGCAACCCGCAGTGCATTTCTGCCATCATAACCTCTCTGATCAATGTTGGATTTATTTTCTAATAATATCTGAACACAATCATAATGACCCTCTTGTGAAGCTAAGATGAAAGGGATTCGTCCATCATTGTCAATCTCATTTGTTCTAGCACCTTGTTCAATAAGCGCTTCACATATTAACCTGTGGCCTTCGAAGGCTGCCATGTGCAAAGGTGTCCATCCAGCATCATCTCGGTGATTTTCATCTAACCCTCTGTCCAGGAGAGTGCGTACCACCTCGACATTTCCTTGTGCTGAAGCTATGCTGAGGACCGTCCTGCCTTCACTATCAATACTATCCACAGCTGCACCCCAAAACAAAAGTGTGTTTACCACTGAAGCATGGCCCATAGAAGCTGCTGCTAACAGGGGTGTTCGACCATTGTTATCTGTGTGATCTACATCCGCTCCTCCTTCTAGAAGCAGGTCAACCACATCAACATGTCCTTCATAGGCAGCTACCAGCAGTGGAGTCATACCGTCTTTATCACAATGATCTACTTCTGCACCTCGATCGATTAGAAGGCTAACAACTGATGCGTGTCCTTTACTGGCAGGCACACAAAGCGCAGCTACAGACAGTGCAGTCCTGCCATCAACATCCTCGTGATTTACTTCTGCTCCGTGGTCCAGCAGATGTTCCACAATCTCTCTATGTCCCATGTATGCTGCTGCTATCAAAGCAGTTCTACCTTCATTATCAGCTTTGTTAACTTCAGCACCATGCTGTAGCAAATTCAGTACAATATCTTCGTGGCCACCCCATGCTGCTGCTCTCAAAGCTGTTCGACTATCAGCATCTGCACAATCCACTTTTACGCCAGCATAAAGTAGTGCAGAAACGACCTCAGTATGGCCTCCCCAGGCAGCAGATCGTAATGCTGTCCAACCATCTTGATCGGTATGATTAATATTTGCTCCACATCCAATCAAACAATTAACCACCTTGGTATGTCCTTGCCTAGCAGCTAGAGTGAGTGGTGTATGTCCATGAACATCTTCTATTTCTAAATCTGCTCCCCTAGAAACAAGTAAATTCACTACATCAAGATTGCCACTGTATGCAGCATTAGCCAATAATGTTCTTCCATTTGAATCACACTGATTTACTGAAGCTCCATTATCTAATAATGTCCGAATGGAATCCTCTCTCTCTAAAGCTTGTCGAACAATGCATGATGTGCGATCATCTTCACTGTTGACGTGAGCACCAGCTTTAACCAACAGCTGTAGTACTTCTTGTTCCTTGGGAATTAAAGTAGACAGAGAGTCTCTAACAGGTGCACCATTCCATATCATCCACAGAGCTAACTCAGCTGTCTCTAATTGTAGGTTTGAATTAATTAAGTGCAAAGCAAATTCTTGTGCTTCCAATGGTGTTAAATTCTTTGCTTGACAGGTATAACTCATAGCCAACATTCTGTGTCCTTCAGCTGCGTTACATAAATACTTCTGAGTGCAGTGCTTCACATCTAGAAGCCATTCTGCAAAACTATAGTGAAACAGTATTTTAGTATTTCCTAGTCCATCAACAAGAAGTTTAGACAGGACATCTAACTTGCGTTGAAAGTCTTCCAAGGTTAAAGACATATTTTTGGTCCATACTGCATGATATAATTCCGTTATGGTCAAAGGTCGGCAGGCTGCAAGAATCACATTTAAAATAGGTTGAACTTTTGCAAACTGTTTTCTTACAAAAAGTCTTTGGCAAAGCCAGAGATAGAGACCATTTAGAGTTCCCGGGATGTCACGAATCTCTCTTAACATAATAAAATTTTCTACAACTCCATCTAAAACTCGTTCTAGATAAAGAAAGCATCCACTGCTTTTAATGTGCAGTTGATTTAACATCTCTGCAGTTTCTTTAGTGAGGTGTTGTCGCAAAGCTTCTTCTTGATCTAACCGATGAAGAATGTACTGCTGAACATCCTTGACAATGTATGCCTTCCGAAGGTCATCTAAACTTATTTTTCGAAAGCCTGAAGAAACAAAACAGCAGATGCATTATAGAAGCTGCCAAATCTTCAAAGAAAATGTCTTCAACATATAATAGACCAATAAAAAGGCAATTAATAAAATATATGGATGGCAGAGAAATAATTTCATTTTTGTATCAACAAATGGAAATACTTAATTCTTTCAGTGGTTTGTTGACCTCGGCATAAGAAGTTTACACAGCTATAAAAGTACCTTTGTTAAGATTTTCTGAACTCCTAAATGATTAAAAAAAAGTTGCAAGAGAAACAACAAATAAAACTTGTTTATAAGATGATGATTTTTTCACGTAAATAACTGATATATTTCCACCCATATAATGTACTTGAATATGTACTAGCCATAGTTATGGGGGGGTTATTTACATTTAATTAAGAATAACCTGTCACTGCCTTTAAATTCTTTATTTTAGAAGTTATCAAATTTAGATAATTAAGTCTCAGCCTCAATAAATAGTTTGAACCAATTAAGATATAACTTGGTTAAATTCAGCTTACAAAACATTAGCATTGTAAAAACAGAGCCATTTAATAACATTCACATTAACCTAGAAGCATACTAGTTACAGTTATTTGAAATTCTATTTCGTTTTCAGAAAGGAATTGTATCATGACCTACAGACACGAATTTATTATGTAATTGTGTATTTATCTTACAGAGGAAACAAAAAATTGCTACATGAATAAACTCTTCCAGGCATTAACTTGACCAGATTCACATTATGAAAGACCATTCTAACTTCCATTATCAACTGCAATGAGTCAAAACTAAAAGCAAAATCTTTTCGACAGGGCTGGGATAAATTCTACATGAGAATCATAAAGCCTTTGATAACCATAGCAGCAGTAGCAAATATAAAGATAAATGACAGACGTGGGAATTATTAATAAGAGCTAGATTATGTGCAGCTTGGTGAACATGGAGGAGGGAAGAGTAAAGGAATTGCTGAACATCTGGCATTGTTAAAAGGATTTAAAAAAAGATACCTCTGAAGGATAAGCAATAGCTTTGGAGAGAAAATTGATAAATTCAATTACGTGATACCAACCTTGAAAAACTGAAATGAAGCAGATAAATATATCGAAAAACACAACTCAATGTAAATGAAGCATGAAGAACAAATTTACTTTGTCCTAAATCTATATCAAAAAGGAATCTGTTCATATACACATATAAATAATAATTAAATGCTCAACATATAAATCATTTCAAAATATAAATTTCATTATGAAGACATAATTCCTGACACAAGAACTTCTGAAACACTGAGAAATTTGTAACAATCCAAATTTACCAATGACCTCTCTAAACGTTTTTCTATGTGTCCATTAGTGTTTAACTTTACAAATTCATTAAAATGATTTAAGACAAAAAAAGGGAAATACCTGGCTTGTTAATAAAATTTATTTAAAACAACAGTATTTTTATTACACACTATTTTTAAGCTTTCAATGTGACACGTGAATACAGATTAATTTATATGAAAGGTCACATAACAATGAATAAATACAATTTAAACTAATTGAGATCTCATGATTAAAACTTGAAATAATTAAAACACAAACTAGGCTAATCCTGTAAAACTCCATAGTAACAGGTTTGGTTTCTCAGAAAGGAATAAATAAGAGCAAGATTTATTGAGTCAAGTATTTTAGGGAAGCACTTTAAGTGCATAGTTCACATAACCTTGTATGACAAGCCCGCCAGAGATATAAGTATACCATTATATTAAAAAAGCTAAAGTACAGAAATGTTAAATAAATTTCCTGAAGTAAGTAGTGATTAGCATAACTAGGAATTTGATTGTTTTGTTTGATTTTGAAGTTCCTTCTTTTCATGAGAATAGGAACGAACACAAAGTTGTAGAAGAAAATACAAATGTTTGAGAGAGGGAATAGGGACACAAATTTCTATAAAGTACAGAATTTCATAAAACATTGATTTGAAATATTTGCAACTTAAAAATAAATCTCCCCCAGCTCAAACTACTCCATAATATGGATATTAATAGAAATTATGTGCATCATTAATAATAGGTATTTGTTCATTAAAACAGAGTGAAAAGGCCAAGGGTGTAGCTCAGTAGTTGATGGCTTGCCCGGCACATGTGAAACCACAGTAATTTCAGCACTTCCAAAAAATACAAAACAAAAAACTATAGCTAAAAATATCTATTAATCACAAATTTAAAAACCTTAAAGATATTGAAAATACATTGCTACAAAGCACTTAAAAATTGTAAGACTGACATTATCAAAACTCTTAGGAGAATAAAAATATAATTTACTGAAATGCTGAAACACTTCACTATTGAAACATTTCTCTTAAAACATTTCTTAGGTTCTAAAATCACATGGAGCTAGTCAAAGTAGAATGACAGGACCCATGCCAATACTTTTATACTGATGCTCACTGCAGTTACTTATTATCTTGAAGAATTGACTTAGAAAACATATGGGTTGATAAAGTATTGAAGTGAGAGCTTCATTTTATACCGTTTAGTAGAAAATATCTTACATGAATAATAAAATATAAAATATGGAATAGTAAAGGACACTACATTAGATTACATATAATGGAATGCACAATAACAATTTTAAAAAGCCAAACAAAATAGTTGCAAAGAATGAAAGTGAAACAAAAGCCGTACTGACAATAAGAAAACCCTGACTTACTGATAAAAACATATATAAAAGTCAGTAAAACGTCACAGAAAAAAAAGACAAATTGATAAAATTAAGCATGGGGATGAAGAATTAAATCATAAACAGAAAGTACAAATAAAAATGAGGGCATTTTCACATCTCAAATTAACAAACACTTGCTGGGATTTAGCTCTGTGGTTCCGCTGTCTTTTACGCACAAGCGTAAAGTCCTGAGTTTGATCCCCGGTACCCCCGCCCCCCAAAAAAAGGGACACAGATCTCAGGCCATGTAAAATGACAGATCACATGACCAACATCAAATTAACACTTTCAAAATATAATTTAACACTGATGGAAATACAAAGAAACAATATTTTCAGACAGGAATATAACCTGATATGTATATTTCTGAAAAGCAACTGATAATATATATTAATAACTTTAGTCATATTCTTAAAATTTTTACCCCCAAACTCAAAATTAAGTATCAATGGGAAAGTGACCAAATGTTTATATAAAACTCAGTTATTAATAATTAATATCTCAGGAGAGGAAATGAATAAAGAGAATCTGACCATAATCTAGTTCTGATTCCTAATTTGCTGCCATTTTCCAATAAATTATAGTTGAAAGGAAATACAAATTCATGTAACTGCAAATCACTGAAAGGCAGTTTTGTTCCAAGCTGTGTTCTAGATGCTAAGGAGATAAGCAGTGGACGAGAGGAAAAGCTCCTATTCTCAAGGAGACAATATCCTAGGGAGTAAGTAAACAAATATAAAATAAAAACAATTGTAAGATACACAGAGATAATTCAGATAAAGAGAGTGACTGCAAAACTGACTAGACAGGGAGCCAGAAATAGAGCCACAATAGAAAACACTGTTAAATACCTGAGTAGTACCCTAAATGAGAAGTTAGAAGTTCAAGGGAAGAACATTTAACCAAAACTTAAAATGTAAGACCCTAAAGCAGATAAAAACAGGTCTCAAAATAAATGTTGACTGATGAGAATGCAGAAAAAGAGAAACCATGGTTTTGGCAGGAATATAAATTATTTAAAGCATAATAACTGGTAATCTGGCAAAATTAACTGAAGTTCTAATTGTATATACTCTATAACCTAGCAATTTCCAAATTGTCGTGTTTTAGATTTGAAATGTCCTCCAAAATGTACGTGCTAACTGCCTGGCCCAAGCAGATGGGCTTTGTGGGAAGTGGCTGAACTGAGTGTTCCACCTTCAATGGACTGGGCCATTTATGAGACCACAATCTGATAGCATCTTTGGGATATGAATGCAACAGGAGGTGGAGCCCATTTGAAAGGAGTGGATCCTGGTGGTGGTGCGATCTTAGGGATTCTATCTCATCCTAGCCCTTTCCAGTCTGGCTCTCCTGCTGGCTCTCTGCATTCTGCCTGCTATCTTCTGTCTCTGCTAATCCCTGCTGCCATACTGTTCTGCTTCACTTCAACCCTAAAGCAATGGACCCCATTGACCATGGAATGAAACTTCTGAAACCATGGACCACAAAAACCTTTCCTCTTTAAGCCTTTTTTTTAAGGCCGAATAAACCCAAATCTAGACTTATAACACAAACCTTTAGCACCCTAATACAAGATGTAGACATGCATATTCATGAAGTATTTTTTTTAAAAACAGGTTGAATATTCCATAGCCAAAACACCTAGGACCTTAAGTATTTTCGTGTTTTTTTTTTAGACCATGGAGTATTTGCAAGCATTTATATGTATATGTATGTGTACACACACACACACACACACACACACACACACACAGATGGTGGTGGGGGATAGAGAGAGAAAGAGATGTCTTGGGGAATAAGACCCATATCTAAATCTAAATCCACTTATATCTCATACACCCCTTATACCTATAATGTAAAGGTAATTTTATATAGTACTTCAAGTATTTCTTGCACGAAACTAACTTTCACAAAATGGAATTTTCTACTTGTGGCATTGTGACAACACAAGTTTTAGATTTTGGTGCTTTTCCAACTTTGAATTTTCAGATGAAGATTGCTCAACCTGTAGTAAAAAACTGAAAATCTAAATGCCATGAATGAGATAGCAGAAATATAACTGGGAAATTTATTCATAGAGAGGAATATTACCCACATTTAAAACCAATAACCTTGATTTAAAAGGAGTATTAGGAATAGGACTCAAAATTTACTTTTGCTACAAAATGAGAATAATAGCAACATTTATGAAGCACTTACTAAATATCAGTCCTACATAAGGGAATAAAGCTGGTTCAAAAAATAATCACCTTAACAAATTAATAAAAGGTTTTGCCATACTTTAAAATGCACAGAACTACTTGAAACTGATTAATATGTTTTATATTCATGTACAAATTCCCCACAATAAATGTAATCATTATGTATTACAAATGTGTAATACACAATGTAAAAAAATATTCATAATAAAACTAATATGGCAAAATAATCAACGCAATTAACATCTCTTCAATTACACTGTAACTCTTATGAAAGGTCCTGCTTCACATTCTTTTTATTAACCAAAGAGTACAGAAGAGAGCTTCATATAATCTAAAAGGAATAACCCAACTTTACTGTTGTTAGAAAAAAAAAGTAAAAGAATAATGTAAGGCAAAAAGAAATATAACTATTCATGTACTTTTACACATTATATGAACTTTTCTCTTACAGATGAGAAAACATGAAAATATTTCAAAAGGTATACTAAAGGGCTATTAATTCTCTCTTCTTTCACAAAGAAAAATACCCAGAGTAACTGCTATAGGTTTTTTTTAAGTCCAGAGGCTTATCTACTACCCCTAAGATGCTATGCTACTTAGAAGCAATATAAACCGCCACGATATAACAGCACAGCAAAGGTAGCCCCACAGATACACAGCAGCAAAGATGGCATTCAACACTGCTATTCTTTTACTAAGGTAGTCAGGAAAAGAACTTGGAAAAGTAATTTTTATCTGTTTTTCAAACGCGCTATGGATTGCTTTTAATATAATATTAAAAGGCACAGTACAGAAGAGCTGAGGCAACATCCAGATTTTCAACTGCAGACTTTGTTCTAAGCAAGAAACACACATTAAACATTCATTTGGAAAGCAGTAAGGAATTATGCTTACCAGTAAACATTTTAGTAACGGCCTTACTCTGTTTCCTGGCAGAACATAGAAGCAATAGCCATGGTGGAAAGAACTCATGGTGACCAGCTAAGAGCTCTGCCACAGTCCCCGAGAAGCTGGTCGACGTCTGTTCACCTTCCGAGATGGTACACCCTTCATCAACAGAGTCCACGAGCAGGTACAGGCTCTGCTGTGGAGGCTTCATTCCCGAGAGTGGGAGCAGAACACACCTGGAAAACACAGCACGGAGCAGTTTGAATGTGGTTGACTAGAAACATCAGTATTACTAATTATGAATGTTTTGAAAATAAAATAAAGGCCAGGTGTTCAGGTGCATGTGTGTAATTCCATCACTCTGGGAGGCTGAGGCAAGAAAACTCCAAGTTTAAGTCCAGCCTGGGCAACTCAGCAACTTAAGAGAGAACCTGTCTCAAAAATACAAAAAAAGTGAATCCCCAGTACTGTAATCAATCAATAAACTTCTAGAACAAAAAATGTTTTTTGTCTCAACTCTTCAAGAATACTAGTCTAAATAATTCACATTTCCAATAACATCACTATAAAAAATACAGTGATTGAGTATGTGTGTTTATGTGTATATGTGTTGGTAATTCAGTATACTATAGGATAAGAGTAGTAGAAAATAGACAAAACTAGATCTCAATATTCTCTCTATCTTTTTTGAGTCAGTGAGGAAAGGCTTGAATTGTACATGACAAGGCTGTAAAATCTGTGGCAGAGGGAAGTAAAAACTTCGATTATCACTTTATAAAAAAGTAAGAATTCTATAGAATTTAGAAAGGTTTTATTGTCTCTCACAAGATTACAGCACTTCATAAAGCTTATAACATACAAAGTTTACTTTAAAAGACTGTACAAAGATAACTATATTCTAGATCCCATTTCATGAATTTCCGAATTTCAAAGAAAAAAAAATTTATCAAGTTTTATTCCATTGAATAGTGCATTTCCTATTCAGGTGATGTACCTAAGGCTGAATATAGCTGTTTTGTAAATAAAACAATGCTCATTCACTTTCAAAAACATTTACTTGATGTCTGTCATGTGCTCAATAAAATGTTTAGCACGTAAGAGGGTGAAGAAGACAAAATCCATCCAGTAATGAGCAACAGAAATTCATGAATATTTTCTACAACTCCCTTCTAAATCAGTCAGTAATTCCAGACACCAAAATCCAACTAACTACTGTGCAACAATCAACGTTTCTAAACTCTCAAATACACTTCTGTCTGGAACAGCATGACCCTAACCCAAATGCCCACTGTACCTTTTACCTGTGCTGCTACAACCACTCACTGACTTCCCTCTGCAGCAGTGAATTTTCAAATGCTGCTGCAACCACACTAGGCTTCTTTCAATGACCTCTGTCAGATACAAGTACAGAAGGGCCTTTTCACTTGCAGTTTCCCCTACCTGGTATGCATTTCCTTTCCTTCTTCGTGGAGGGTAACTCCTCCTTTATCTACAATTTTAACTTTAAAAGTCACTTTAAGGTCAAATTTTATTATCTGGATTCACAGCATCAATAAATTCTCTTTCACTGCACATCAAGTCCTGCAATTTGATATTTCATGTCCATCAATTTTTTCTCTTTAGACCTTAAACATCAAGAGAATAGAGAATAGAAACTAAGTTTGTTTTGCATATCAATGTACTCCCAGAATTTAGCATGGTGCTCACAATAGATTAAGGATGACACTGTTGCTATCTACAATGAAAGAGAAGTATCTTCAATGCAGTGTGCTCACCACTATCACAAAAAGTAGTAAAATTACTAACACAGTAAATAAGAAGTGATCAACATCAGAGATATGGAGGCAGGGAAGCAGAGAATATTAGAGAAATGCTCAAGTAGGAGATGCTCAGGTGAACCAAGTTTTGAAGAACCTATTATAACTCCCTAGGCTGAGAGAAGGAAGGCAGGACAATCCTAACCGAAAGGAACAGGCTCAATTTAGGAAAACCTACTTTATTATATCTTTCGTACGTATTTTGTCTTTTATGAACCCAAAGAAGGGTGATGAAAAACCAGTGACCCAGGAAGAACATCCCTAATCTGAAAAAATCTGAATTCCAAAGTACTCCAAAATCTAAAATTTTGAGCACTTCAAACAGTAAAGTCTATGCAAACACTCTAACATCAAATAAAGATGTGGAACACTTCTGGTTCTTAGCACTTTAGATAAGGGATACTCAGCCTGTACAGCCATACAATATAGTTCATGTAGTATATAATGTAGAATGAGAATATGGCTAATCCATGCCAATTCAGTGTTGTGGGACTACACAGGAGGCAACCTAAACTAATTTCGGTAGGGAAGATGTGAGGAGAGGTCAGAGAAGATGGGAACTGAGGTTGAAGTCAAAATAGCTAGGAGTAGAGGAGGAGACACAGTAAAAACACATAAATTCATTTGAAGCTTGAAGAATATAAAGACCAGTGAACAAAGTATAAGAGAAAAGAATTATGAAATGAATAAAGGCTGGGGGGCGGTTGTAAGATTCTATCATGAAGTTTACACTCTTCCCTAAAAATACTAAGCAGCTACACCACTTGGGTAATTACACCACTCAAAATTTTTCTTAGTGCCTCATAAATGCTCAATAAATTTGCTTTATGAATGAATGGCACTGAGTGGAAAAGTTGCCACCTTTAAAATATTACATAAAACATTCAGTAAACTCAGAATTCCTATATTCATTTCTCAATTATTTCCAAGTCACCTACTTGGGAACATATACACCAACAGGTAAAAAGAGCCACATTTTTCTGTCAAGTTTGCATTTCATCATTTGTAAAAAGAAAAATCTCTCCAAAGTATACATAAACAAACCATGAGTAGTTCAGTCTAAAATAAATTTTTCCATGTTTGTGGATATATATTTATTACAAAAGAGATAATGGATAATGTGTTAGGTAGGATAGCATACTCATACACAGATAATCACTTTATTATTTACTTTTGTTTGTTTGCTTTTGAGATAAGGTATTGCTATGTAGTCTAGGCTGGCCTTGAACTCACTACATAGCACAGTCTGGCCTTTTGCAACTCTCAGTGATTCTCCTACCTCAGCTTCCCAAGTGCTAGGATTACAGGCATGCGCCACCATGCTGGGCTAGTCACCCTATTTAAAAGCAGCAGTATCCTAGAAGGTCTTACTTTCATATACAGTATGTGTCTTATTAAATATCTAATATTTCTTAGCTTCATTATTAAGATTTAGCCAACCTGTCTTACAATCTTAGTAATCTCATTAATTCAATTTAAAATGCATGTTAGATTTCACCATTGTAATCTTTCTTGAATAGGAGTACTGGCAGAGCCATCTCTTTATAGCTGACTTTTTGATTTCCAGGCAGAAGGGCAGTGGAAAGACCATTAGGGTAATTTGGAAATGAAACACATCCATTGTTCTTTTTCTTTAATACAGTAAATTTATGTACTGCCTTTTGTTTTGTTTTGGTTTTTTTCTTTTAAAAGTTGCTCTAAATGAAGTACAAGGTATGTATAATTAGATGATAAACACATAGATAATGTAAAATACCTCCCTCCAAGTTACAATTATTAATTTTGAACATCAGGTTTCAGCTTGCTTGTTCAGGTATAGAGAATCAGTGTTCTTCTAGGACATACAACAAAACAAGTCAGACAAATGGCACATTTGAGACTTTTGCTGTATCTATCAGAAAGCAAGGGTCACAGAGCAACCAACTAGCCCCAAATCTAGGGGGACCAAGACAACTGCAGACTGACACAGAGCACAGACACAGAGGACAAGCACAGCCGCACAGGGAAGGAGCAGCTAGACACCAGGTGTGTGGGAAGGGGCTGGGGAGTGGTCAGCTACAAAACTGGAGGAAGAGAATGTGGGGCTTCCAGGGCTGATAACAAATGTGAAAATCCACACCCTCTTCCAGACATTTTTACTGATCCTGTAGGGCTTTATTTTATTTAATGGAACAATCCTGGCTGGGAAGAACATGGAATGAAAGCTCCACCCAGATTATTTTCCAATATATATCCTATGGAAAAGCCTCAGTATGATGTGAGGTGAACACTACTACCCTTAGGCAATGAGTAAAAACTCACCGTAGCCTACATCAGAATGGAGAGAGCCACTGAGATGACCTCATCCAAGACCTAGGGGCACAAGGTTAACTTAATCAGAAAACACCTCCATCTTCATCCTTCCATGAACTGCTAAATGACTGCAAAAGGGAAAAATGTAAGAGCTGTAAGGGAAGTAGATATTCAGAAAAGCCATCTGGAAAATCAGCCCTGCCCTAAACACAAGTATTGCTAGAGGGGTTGAAGCCTAAGGTGTACTAACAGTGGTACAGCAACTGCAAATCTTCAGTACCCTAATTCCTGACTATATTAATGCACCCTTTCCCCTTTTCTCCACATTAAAGGCCAAAACAGGAAAAAAACGAAAACGAAAACAAACATGGACCCATTTCCAAACACCAAAACTGTTACTGCCTCAACTGTTTCACATAAAATATCCGGCTTTCAACAAACAATTAAAGGGCTGTGGATTTAGCTCTGCTGTGCTACCTCCTGCCTAGCAAGCACAAGGTTGTGAGCTCGATCCCTAGAACCAAAAATAAACAAAAAAACCCCAAATAATTATAAAATTCTATAATAACAAAAATTATTCTACAAAAACACAAAGTTTAAGGATACATAGCATGCATTTTTAAAATTTATTATAAAGCCAGTGCAATCAAGCTAGCATCATGGCATTTGCTAAAGACAGACACTCTAAAAACAGGCCAGCAAAAATACAGGAGGTTGAATTTTTTTAAAATTTCAAAGATAATTCAATTAAAACAAGAAAAATTTTCCCACAAATGATGTGGACCAGAGCAGCATGGCTGAAGTCAGATCCCAGCCTGGACTCCACCATGACCCCAGAGGCTTAGGAACACCTGCCCAAACCAAAAGCCCACCCAGAAAAAAGCTGCACAAGCACACAAACTTCAGCCAAAGGCCTACCATATAGCATCTGTGAGTGCCCACAGATCCTGGGGAGCAGTGGTGTGAACTACAGCAGCACAGCTGCAGGCAGATCCCAGTCAGGGGCCACTCCCAATGAATCCACACCACTAGGGTACACAGGCAACACCCAAGGGGATTGCTGGAAAAGAGCTACACAGGAACACAAGTAACGCTAGAGCTCACCCCAACACCATTAATAAGTGCGT